GGCTCATTGCTCAGCTCTTTGCCCCCATCCTCCTCCCTGTTACCACCACCTACAACTCTGATGTCATCCTTGATTCCTCACTCTCCTACCTCATAACCAATTTGTTGCCTAATCTTTTTTTCTACCTTCCTCCTTCACAAAATCCCTCTTTGGTGTCTGCAACTCCCCATTACTACAGCCTAGTTCAAGCCCCGTCACCTCTTACCTGGATTATTGCATTACAACCTTTTAAATGGTCTCCCCAGTGCATATCTTGCCACGCTACAACTCATCCTCCATTCAGCTGTGAAGGTGATTTTTTTTCAAAGGCATACATCTGACCAGGTCACTATCATCATCCTGGTTGATTCTGGACCCATCTACTCAATGAGCCCCAGGGGTGCCAAATGGAAACTTCTCTGTTTGGTACTTAAAGTTCTCTGAAACCTAGTCCATTCCTATCTTTCCAGTCATCTTAGACTTTCCTCCCTTCCACCCACCCAATGGTCCAGCTAAAAATGGCTAATTTGCTTTAAGAATGAAAAGTGACGCTCTCTCCTACCACCAAGCCTTTGCACTATCTGTTCCTCATGCCTGGCAGGCTCTGCTCTCTCTACTCTGCCTTTGAGCGTCTTTGACTTTCTTCAAGATTTGGCTCCAATCCCCCTTTCTGCAGAAGTCCTTTCCTGGTCTTCCTCACTGCTGGTGCCTATCCCTTGGGAACTATCTTTCATCTGCTCTGTATATATTTTGTATGTTGCTAGTTACTTACATGTTATCTCCCCAATTAGAATTTGTTTTCTTTGAGAGCGGGGGCTGGGATTTTTTGTTTTGTTTTTGGCCATTGCTGTACCTTTGGTGTTGACTCAGTGCCTGGTTTAATTGCCTGGACGCTTACAGATCCATTGCTTTCCATTTTGTTATGCAAAAAGTACGTATTAAGACTCATGTTGCATAAGTATTAATTGTTCTAAATGTGTTGCTTCCATTAAGCTTTGGCTTTAGGGTGTCAGTCAGTCAGTCAGTCCCTTATACTCAGCCTGGGGTTTCTCTGTGATGGGCTTATAATCAATGTGTCTTGAATGGAGAAGACCAAGGTTTCTGTTATGTATCCCTTTCATTCATTGGTTCAAATTGACCTTCAGAACATTCAATTTCTATGTTTTCTTGGCCCGCATTTAGAACTTCACAATAAGGAATCCGAATGATATTGTGATATCAAAATGTAAGCATCAGAGGCCAGATTTGAACTTGAGACCTGACTCCAAGGCCCATACTCTGTCCTCTGTGCCTCCTAGTTGCCTCACCTCTAGGCAGATAATGCTACATTTATAAATCTAACCCCTGTCTTTCTCCTGAGAGAGAAAACTTCCATCAGATGAAATTGCTCTTTCAATATGCTTTTCCGGGGCACCCTATAACTCGATGTCATTTTTATATATTACATGATGAATACAGTGTCTTGGCACGAGTCCCTCTCAGACTTGAAAGTCGTACTCAGTTCTATTCAAGACAGATAAGAAAGGATTTTGTGACAGGAACAATCATGGCAAACTTAATTGTTCTTCACCTCAATATGCTGGTAGCATATTTTAAATAGAAAAAACAGTCTAGTCCACGTGGGTGTCACATACTCTCATGTTCTCACTGTACTGGGATCTATTGTACACATCTGCGGTATGTGACTGAGGAATGAGTGGGGAACCGAGTTAAAGGTCCAATGATAATGTGCTATAGCACTTTGGGGTGGCTTGGTCAATAATCACTGAATGATAATAATTTGCTTCTTATGCACCTAGGACTTTGGGGTACACTCTTTTCACTCCTCAGCTAATAGAATTTTGCTGTGTGTGTATAGATTGTCTTTTGAAAAATACAAGTTAGGAAGGCCTTGTAGTTAAATGCACAAACACATAATTGGAGCAAGACAAGCCTGTACCTGGAGGGGTCCCTGGTGTCCTAATCTTTTGGTAATAAAGATATGATGCCTTCTGTTCAGAAGGATAAGCTCAGGCTCGTATCAGAAGAGAGGCTGGCAAAGTGTTTTGCTACTAATTCAATCACTTCTGTGAGAAGCTTGAACCAGTAATTACAGATTTTCTCCACATTTGCTGCTTTCCAAGTTTTCAGAGAAGAGTTTCAGTTCTCCCTACCATCTCCCCACATCATTCATTATGTTAATGGATCACAGGGCTTACTGTTTTGTGTTTGACCCAATTTGTTCTTTGTTGTACTTACTTTAAATCACTAGCATCTTGTTCTTATCTTTTTCAAGAGAGGATTCTGGGACAAGTAGCTTTCCTCTCTTTTCTTTAATATTTAATATAAGACTATTGCACAGGTGGATAAAACATTTTTTTTTGCAGTCAAATAAATGCATTAAGATGTAAGCACATTTAATTTGGAACTAGGCCCAAAGGACCATAAAACCATGCATACCCTTTGACCTAGAAATACCACTACTAAGTCTGTATCCAAAAAGAGATAAAAACAAAAATGAAAAGGACTTATATGTACAAAAATATTTATAGCAGCTCTTTGCTAGGGGCAAAGAATTGGAAATTAAGGGGATGCCCATCAACTGGGGAATAGCTGAACGAACTGTGCTATGTGATTGTAATGGAATATTATTGTACTATAAGAAATGATGAGCAGGATGCTCTCAGAAAAACCTGGAAATACTTACATGAGCTGATGAAAAGTGAAATGTACTGTGTGCAAAGTAACAGCGATATTGTTAGATATCAGCTGTGAATGACTTAGCTATTCTCAGCAACACAATGATCCAAGACAACTCTGAAGGACTTATGATGAAAAACGCTATCTATCCCCAGAAAAAGAACTGACGGTGCCAGAATACTGATTGAAGCATACTTCCTTTACTTTATTTTTCTTGAGTTTTTTGTCTGTTTTCTTTCACAACATGACTAATATGGAGATATGTTTTCCATGGCTACACATATGTAATCTATATTGAACGCTTGCCTTCTCAGGGGTGGAGAGGGAGGAAGGGAGAGAATTTGGAACTCAAAGTTTTAAAAATGAATGCCAAAATTGTTTTACATGACTATGCCCAAAGAGCTATAAAAGTGTGCATACCCTTTGACTTAGGAATAGCACTTCTAGGGCTGTATCCCAAAGAGATCATAAAAATGGGAAAAGGACCCACACGTATAAAAACATTTATAGCAGTTCTTTTTGTGGTGGCAAAGAATTGGAAATTAAGGGGATGCCCATCAATTGGAGAATGGCTGAATGAGTTGTGGTATATGAATGTAATGGAATACTATTGTGCTATAAGAAATGATGAACAGGCTGACTTCGGAAAGACTTGTATGGACTGAAGCTGAGTGAAGTAAGCAGAACCAGGCGAACGCTGTACACGGTAACAGCCATGTTATGTGATGACTAACTTGGATAGATTTAGACCTTCTTGGCAATGCAAGGATCTAAGACATCTCCAAAAGTCTCAGGATGGAAAGTGCCATCCACATTCAAAGAAAGAACTATAGAGTTTGAATGTAGATCGAAGCAGACTACTTGCTATTTTTTTTCTTCTGTTTTGTTTTGTTTTCTCTTTCTTGTGGTTCCTCCTATTGGTTCTAATTCTTCCTTACAACATGACTAATGTGAATATTAAAAAAAATGTTTTACATGTAATTGGGGGGAAAATATAATACTAAAAAATATGTAAACTCATCGTCTGTAGGCTCCTGAAAAGCATCCTTGGTACAATGAGAGGAGCAGACAGGGTCATGGCAATGTCTACATACTTTGCCTTGTTCTTGAAACCTGTAAAGAGGTTTTGATCTCTCCTTGGCCTTGTCTGGCTGACTACCTTCTAATGCCTTTAAATCCATATAGGCAGGAGATTGTGAGTATTTGGGATGGTGACATCTATTTAAGACATTCTCAAATTTCCATAAACTAATGTTGTGTCTGTGGTCCTGCTGTCCTGTCCAGTCTGTGATAATCGAGCTGGTGACAAGTCTTGGATATAGTGATGTCTGTATTTGAGGGACTACATCATCTGTCAGCCCATGAAAGTTACATGATCAAGTCATGACTTGCTGGTATTTAGTAGCTTCTAAATTTTTATAGCAGCTAGGTGGCATGTGTGACCCTGGGCAAGTGACTTGACCCTGTTTGCCTCAGTTTCCTTATCTGTAAAATGAGTTGGAGAAGGAAATGGCAAACCAATCCAATATCCAAGAAAAGCCTAAATGGGGTCATGAAAAATCAGACATGACTGGAACACACCTGAACCACAACAAATTTTTATAAGCAATCAACAAGCATTTATCAAATATCTACTAAGTGCCAGACACTGTGCTGAGTACTAAGGATATAGGAAAGATTATATTCTGCTGGGGAGGCTGCCGGGGGTGTTGCACACTTGCTACAATCTCCTCACATAATTTGCATTGATCATTAAGTCAAAGCTCCTTCAGGATAACCATCCTGTAATTTCTAGTGACAATAACTTGGTCCTGAATTCCTATCATAAGCACCTCCATTTCCACAAAGAAATCCACACAATGCACTCATTTGTCCCATTCTTTTTCGATGTTTCTTTTGTTCCTATGATCTCATATTTCCAGGTTTAATATTTTACATACAGTATCTCATTTGAGCCTGATAATAAGCCTATGAGATAGGGTTGGTGTTACAATTATCTCCATTTTAGAGATGAGGAAATGGAGGCTTAAGGAGGGAAAGTGATTTATCCGGGTCAAACCACTTCTAAGGGTCTGAGGAGGAATCCAGACTGAGGCTTTCCTGCTTCCAAGTACATTAGGCATTCCGTGCTCCCTCTTTGATCTTTTGTTCCACAGCCTTACACCACAATGACCCTAAAACCAGTGATTTGAAAGATTGCAGTGTGGGACAAAAAGATAAAAGCAGGGCACACAACTTCAAATAGAGATAGGCCTTCAAATGAAATTGTTCACCAAATAAACAAATGTAATATTAACCAGTATTTTTGCACGTGATCAATAGAAATTCAGAATTTTTTTTACCTTGTTACAGCATCCGCTGATTTTTCCAAATCCTCAAACTCCATGTGAAACACTCTAGAAAATGAATCCTGAAAACACAAAAATGCATCATGGATGGTTGGTGTATCTTCTACTATGATGAAAACCAAACTGGTAAAACATACGAGTCACTTCTGCCTCAGAATATATCATGGGCAGTGACTTTACTTTCCATTTCCTTCAGACTAATTTGACTGGGCATTCACTTCCCTGGCACATTTCCAGTTTACCTCCCATTGCTAAAGGCTGGAATTCATATGGATGACACAGGCCAACAGGTAGACCAGAGATCCCTGAAATTTCTACCATTATTACCCAATCCCTTCCACTTTAGAATTTCAATTCAACATTTACTAGTCTTTTTCCCTCTCCTTTGGTATAGCAATTGAAGTTTTTTTTTTTTGGTTGTGTCTCAGGGTGTCCAACATATGCTTGTTTTAGACAATCCTTAATTTTGATTTGCCATTTCTTTGTCACTTCAGAAATGGGAAATTGTTCCAACTAGAATTTTGTGGTTGATCGTGGCACTAGGCCTCACTTTTCAAAACCAAGCAAAATGAAGTGAGACATAGCAACATATGAGGGAAGGAACATTCCAGTGGTATCTCCCCAAGAGACCTTAGACAAGAGCATGTTATCATGATAGCGATCAGTGAGTCAAGAAATCACTACGGTGGACGAAAACGTATTGAGATATTCTAGAAGTGTGATGAAGCATAATAAGCATGGATGCGGAGAGGGTGACCCATTGGCCATAGGCCATTGGTGGATTCTGATGGATGCTTTGGAAGCATACAGCACTATAATTATCCCTCATTCAAGCACACAGAGAGTTTCAAAACTGTTGGAAAATAGAAAATGATTTCATAGGAAGAGTGGTATGGCCAAGTTTTCTTGTATAATCCCATCTGCTGAACATGGATTTCATTCCACCAATGTCAATTCTTTCATCTCCAGCACTCTGCCAGTGAAGGGAAAATAGGGACGAGACGTATCCCTGATATCTTAATGACCTGATTTCATCGGTATTAGGGAATTCCTGCATGAGCAAACTCCTTCAACCACTGAAGGTTGATGTCTCTGCAACTTTATGTCTTAGAGAGCTGCCTGGATCACTGAAAGGTTCAGAGACTTTCTCAGGGTCACACAGGTAGCATGTGTCAAGACATGGGAGCTCCAAGCCAGGGCTTCCTGACTGCAAGGCTAGCTTTCTATCCACCATGCAACACTGCCTCTCACATGGTAAATGGAAGTCTGTGATATTGATTCTGAGGCATGGTGATATTTTTTTTCTTTTTTTTCTTTTCTTCATTTAATTCCATGGTAATACTTTCTGAATCATTAAAGAAAATGTGCACGTATATGCTAAATGCATTTTAAGAATGACTTTTTATTATACTCTAATCATAGAACAGTCCCCATATAAATAGTCCTCAATTTACAAAAACTCCCAGCTGACAAATGGCAGGGGAAGGTGATTAGAAATGGCCACTCCCTTTTCCCTCCCCTCTCCCCTTATCCTTCCACTGCAGGAAAATACCCAGAGGTGTTAAAGAATCCATAGGTTCAGAAACAGGAACATGATGTCAAGTACTGGAACAATGTGGAGGGACAGACCCTGAAAGAAGATGCCCAGGCAGGGATCTGAGATTTACAGCTGGAAGGGACCTTAGGGATCATTGAGTGCAATTCCTTCATTTTACACATTAGGAAACAGGGAGGGGAAGTGACTTGCCCAGGGTCATGCAGCTAGTAAGTATTTGAGGCTGGTTTTGAAGTTAGGTCTGCCTGATTCCAGAAAGCTGGGTGGAACAGTGTCTAGCATGCTGCCCCTGGAATCAGGAAGACTCATCTTCCTGAGTTCAAATCTGGATTTAGACACTTACTAGCTATGTGACCTTAGGCAAGTCATTTGACTCAGTTTCCTCATCTGTAAAATGAGTTGCACAAGGAAATGGCAAACTGCTGTAGTATCTCTGCCAAGAAAACCCCAAATAGGGTGGTGAAAAGTCAGACAATAGCAACAATTTCCTGATTCCAGGTTCACTGTCCTCTCCAATGTTTCATCCTTCTGTAACGTGGGCTGCTCCGCATCTGTGGTTTTATGTGATGGACCCCAAACATCTCGCCCCCTAAAAGCCTGAAGCTTTTCTTCAGCCTGTACCAGAACTTGAGAGGCCACAAGTTATTGTTACATTGGCATTAACAAGCATTCTCCCTTCAAAAACAAAACCCTCCTGGAGACAGAGAAGATGCTACAATGGGGCATATTGTAGTGCCACCAGTCCTTTACAGGGAATGGGAATTTTGATTATTGGGCAATAATTTTGCAGCTTTGTTTAAAAAAAGAAAAAAGAAAAAAAAAGAATAGCCAATAGCAGTAGCAGCAGCAAGAGGGAAAAAAAAGAGGATTTTACACTTTGGACTTTGTATCAGGCACTTAAATTGCTGCAGAGACGTGCCATTCTGAACCCAAGGTGTGAAAAATGTGCTAAAAACTTTATGAAATTAAGTCTAATAAATGGAATTTCAGCAGCAAAGTGGAGGCATAGATTCGGCCTCTACCCATCCAAATATGCTGAGACACATGTTCTAAAATGCCCAAGACAACAGCAGCAGCAGCAGCAGGAGTGTTCTGCAGTGTCTGCTTTCCTTATGTTGTGCTGTTGACAGGAGGAGTTTCTGTGTCAAACTGAGAAGGCACTCCCAAGGTACAGCTCTTACCTATTTTCAAATATAAATTACTAAATAATTTTTAGCAATATTCAAAGTAGAGGGTGACTACTATGATCCCCCCTTTTTTCCTTCTTTGCACGTTTTCCTGGCATTAGACTAGCACTTAAGTAATATGACGGGAAAGGCCCTAGACTGAGGTGGGTCACTAACTGAGCACAAAATCTGAAAGTCTTCCCCTTCTCTCCATGGGTCTCAGTTTCCTTTGCTATAAAATGAAGCAGTCTGACTCCAGTATTTAAGACGGCTTCCAGATATAAATATTCCAGGATTCTGGGAATCTAGGAGTTAGTGCGGGTCTATGTCAGGAGATTATGGGAGCAAGTGGGTGGTGATAGCCAAGGGCAAAGACAGAAAAAGGATGGTGGGAAGGTGCCCCAAAACACCTTTGGCCCTCTGGAAATTTTGCTTAGTATTCAAGAGAGGGATAGGAAACTCTTCTCCTTTCTTCTTCCTTCCTGACCAAACCACACCATCCATCACTAGTTAAATAGGCTTTTATGGACTGGTTTGGTAATTGAATCACCATTATCATTGTTTCTATAGGAAAATGTTTATTTTAGTTCCAGACAACTGACTTACAAGATAACTAAGATCCCAAACCATTTTTTGGGGGCACACGACCTGCCCATGATTTTTGAAGGTTTCCTCTCTATGACCTCTCTCTCTCTCTCTCTCTCTCTCTCTCTCTCTCTCTCTCTCTCTCTCTCTCTCTCTCTCTCTCTCTCTCTCTCTTTCTCTCTCTCTCTCTCTCTTCTTTCTCTTCTCCTCTCTCCCTCCTTCTTTCTTTCCATCTCTCTTTCCTTCTCTCTCTCCTCTCTTCTTTCTTTCTTCTCCTCTCTCCTTCCTTCTCTCTCTTTCTTTCTCTCTCCTTCCCCCCCCCAAATTTACATTAAAAAGTCCACTTTTACTTACCAAGATAGTCAAATCTTTGATTCTGCTCCAGTCCACCATGCTTTCCATATGGATTCCACATTAGGGCCTATTGCAAGGGGTGACTTGGAGGTGGGAAAGGTAGAGAGGAAGAACAAAAACAAAACCTAGGCTGGTACTTACTGAGCAGTCTTCATCCACTATAAAGATTGTGCATTTCTGCACCTGCATGAAGGCAATGATGGTAGCTGCGATCTTCTTTAGAATCACTTCCAAGGACTGCTGCTCTTCAAAGATCAAGCTGGCAAGATCGAGCAGCACCTGGGCAGAGATCAGGCACAGACCTGGGATCAGAGGATGACCCCAGCATCCCCACAGGTAGGTATGAGCACTGCATCCTATACTGAGGATGACCATTTGTTTACACCACAACCCTCAATAAGAGTTGTGTCTGCAACTGCTGTAGAGATATTTGAAATGCAGGGGGTGGAGAGTGGGAAAGAGACAGCATGGCATAGTGGATAAACAGCTGCACTTGGAGCTGGGAAGATCTGAGTTCAAGTCCTGTCTCTGATATATAATTACTCTGTGACCCTAGACAAGTCACTTAACCTGTTTGCACTCAGGGCAAATCTTTCAGATTATAAATTGCAGAAAGGTGCCATCCTGCATTTGTAGAACCTTCCTGGAAGCTCCCAATACCAATGAAATCCCAGCTTTGGTCTCTATTCTTATCCCCAAAAGACAATGGCAGTAGTGCATGTTTGCCAAATGGTAGAGACATTGTTGGATATTTGGAAATGTGGGGAATCATCATGCAAATAAAATGATTTCACCGCTACTCAATGTGGTGAAGCAAGAAGTCAGTTAAGTAGCAGTTGTTAAGTACTTACTATGGGTCGAGCACAGGATTTCAAGCCAGGAAACCTACTTCAGAATTCCAGTTGTAATATTTACAAGCTACATGGCCTTGGACAAGATCTTACCCTTCTCTAAGTCTTAGTTTCCCCCACTGGGGGATGAGGGGTTTGTATTAGGTGGTGCTAAAGGGACTTACAGTTCTACAGTCTATAACTTTACTGGAGATTGCTCACCAGCCAATGACTTTCAAAGGGTCCTTTTGTGTTTTCTTTGCCAATTCAAGAATCTAGTTAATATAAACCTAATTGTGATAGGTCAAGAAAGCTCAAGGTTTCTAGTCATAAAAGGACAAGCAAGGCCAAAGAAGCTATTCATTCCTTTCAAGGTAACTCAATAAGGACATGCTCAAGATATCTGCTTAGGAATATTAGGAGAGACAAGCTAGGAAACAACAGAATGTTTCTAGAATCCATATTCCTGTATTAAGTCAACAAATATTTAATGGGCCCTACTCTCTGCAGGAAAGAACAAAGAAGCACTAGACAAAGATCCTACTTCCATGGAGCACTTTCAGTATAGTAGGGGAGAGAAAACATACATGCTTGCATGCATATATGCATGTGTACATACATACATACACACATGCATGCATGCATATGCATAACTGCAAACTAAGATAGAAAGCAAAAGTAGATCAGGGTTAAGTCTAAATCAGAGCACCCTAGGAATGTAGAGAAGGGAGAACTTATTTCCAGGTGGAAGTCAAAGAAAGGTGTTTAACAAGTTTCTCATAAAACAAAGACATTCATCTGAAATGCACAAAGGCAGAAGCAATTATCTTTTAAACATTCCCCTTTTAAATACTGTTTATGTAATGAGCAGGCAGATTTCAGAAAAAGCTGGAAAGACTTACATGAACTGATGCTGAGTGAAGTGAGCAGAATCAGGAGAACATTGTAAACATTAACAGCAACATTGTATGATGATCAACTCTGATAAACTTAGCTCTTCTCAGCAATACAATGACCTAAGACATCTCCAAAGGTCTCATGATGGAAAATGCTATCCACTTCCAGAGAAAGAACTATGGAGTCTGAATGCAGATCAAAGCAGACTGTTTTCACTTTGTGTTTCTTCTTTCTCATGGTTTTTCCTTTCTGTTCTGACTCTTCTTTCACAACATGACTAATGTGGAAATATGTTTAACATGATTGTACATGTATAACCTAAATCAGATTGCTTGCTATCTTGTGGAGGGAGGGAGAGAAGGGAAGGAGGGAGCAAAATTTGGAACTCAAAATCTTACAAGAATGAATGTTGAAAACTATCTTTACATGTAACTGGAAAAAATGCTATTAAGTGCAAAAAATATTGTTTATGATTCTAGATCAGGGTATGCCACTTCAGCGGCATGAACTCATTGTTGGGATTTTGTAAAGAGCAACACCCATCCCCATCTCCACATGCTGGGCAATGCCTGTCCATGTCATCCCAGAGGGTTTGCCAATGCTCTGGAGTCCAACCTTTAGGTTTTCTTCCATTTTGTGGATAACATCATGGTGTGCATCTTATACTTCCTCACTTGCACCATTAGCAGTACGTCTCCTTTTCCAAATACATATTTCATGGCTGGTAACCTTTATAGCATTTTTATATGTAGGTCATCATTGGAAATATACTGTGAGCTACTCATACCTGCAAATATTCTCTCCTTTGCCCTTTGGGTCACTTGCGACTTTAGAGACACCATGGTTTTCCAAAGTGTATAATCAGACAGCATCACTAGGAAGACATTGGTATTAAAAAATGGGGTTTTGTTTCAGGAATCAGGTTGGGATTACTGAAAGCACTAAGATATTTCCAAAATGCAATCCAGCCTAATCCCTTTTCCTATTTGATTCTGGATATAGCTTACCATCTACTAAATGAATCATGCACTCTTACACTAACCAATGTAGATTGGCCATCTAACTGCATGTCAAATGGATGCAGCATCCATTTGGTTTTTCTTGTATGGATAGCCAATCTCTTTTGAGTAATTCCAGATCTCACCAAGGAAGACTTAAAATGTTCTGGAACTTCATGAAATTACCAACATGCCATATGTCAACAGAAGCATCTCCAAGACCTCTCCATTTGGAGGAAATTCTTTTTACCTCTTTACCCTGTATAGGACATCCTACGTGACTATGGCCAATCTCTTGCTGAGTATGTATCTCTTATTTTCTTTTTCAATTGACTTCAATAATCAAAAAGTAGTCAAGAAAATTTGCTCTATGGTTGTATTTATAATGACATTTGTTATATCTTACAATGTGTATTAAAGACTTCTTGTCAGGGGAAAGCCTTCAAGGCTTTTTTTTTTACTTTTTTACTTAATTTACTTAATTACAGAGCTTTTTTGGCAATAAAACAGGATACATATAGTATGATATTTCTTCTATCTGACCATAACTTCCTTTCTTTCATCTCTCTCCCTTTGTCTCACCCTTCTAAGACTTAGTCTCCACTGTCAGCAGGAGCTCCAGTCACTCCCTCCCTCTTTGTTTTCCTAGACCATTACTTCTACTCTTATCTGATTTTTCTTCCTTCAAAGTCTTGACCCAAGAGAGACCAGTTAGTCTATTGGTCTATCAGAAGATTTTTTTTTGTTATTGAGTCATTTCAATTGTATCTGCCTCTTCATGACTCCATTTGGGGTTTTCTTGGCAAAGATACTATAGTGGTTTGCCATTTATTTCTCCAGCCCATATAGATGAGGAACTGGGGTAAACAGGGTCACATAGCTAGTAAATATCTGAGGCCAGATTTGAACTCATGAAGATAAGTCTTTCTTATTCCAAACCCAGTGCTCTACCCACTGTGTCACCTAGCTGTCAATCAGAAGATTACAGGATTGTAGATTTAGAGCTGGAAGAAATTGGAAAAGCTATGGCCATCAATCAACACTCCTCCTTGGCTACCATTCCCCTGTATGTTGTTTTCCTTTACTAGAATGTAAGCTCTTTGAGAGCCAGAATTCTCTTGATTGCTTATATTTGTATCTGCAGGGTTTAGCATAGTACTTGGCACATGGTAAACTTTAAATCCATTCATCCATCCATCCATCTATCCATTCATCTATCTACCCATCCATCCATTCATTCATCCATCCATCCATCCATCCACACATCTATATGCCCATCCATCCATTCATCCATCCCTTTAACTCTGCGTATTATGTGATACTATTGGCTATCTCCCTTCTTCTTAGAGAGCTTCTCCTCCCTTGGTTTTTGACACTGTTATTTTCTGTTTTTCCTCCTATTTGTCTGGTCATTCTTTCTTGGTCTCCTTTGCAGGATTATCATCATTATACTTAACTTGCACAGTCATTTTCTCAATATGTTACCTATACTATGGCTATTGGGTCTGCCCTTGGGTCTCCTAGTTTCTGTTGGTGAGCTTTTATACTGCCCAGAATCAGACATCCATGTGACTTCCTGGCCACCATGCTGTTTATACTCCAGCCATCACCTTCATTCCCCACCCCCTGCCCCCAGTGGAAGTACTCTGCCCTTGGGTTGTCCAGTTCTACTAAGTGAGTTTTGGCCTCATCTTGCTTGGAGCCAGGGCTCCATGTTATTTCTCATCCACACCACAGCACAGCATGTGCCTCTCCCCCTTACCGGTTTCCCTTTATATGTTATCTTCAGCCTTTCAGGGCAGGCTCTATCTTGCTTGCTTACACTTGTATGACCCAAGTTTAGCACAGCACCTGGCATATAGTTAAGTGTATAAGAAATACTTCATTTATCTACCCACCAAAGGGTGGGTATAGCCTCCATGGCCTTTCTGGGATCTTCTTCTCTTCTTTCTCTAGAATATGTCTTATCTCATCACCTCTCATGGGTTCAATTATCATCTCCATGCAGAAGAATCTAACATCCATGTAATCAACCTTAGTCTCTCTTTCTTGAGCTCCAGACCCACTGCCCTTGGGTTGTCCAGTTCTACTAAGTGAGTTTTGGCCTCATCTTGCTTGGAGCCAGGGCTCCAAGCAACTACCTTTTGGCTATTTCAAATCGGGCGACTTATAGATGTTCCACATTCACTACGTCTAAAATGAACTCATTATCTTTTTCACAAAACCTACTCTTCTTCTACACTTCTCTATTTTTGCCATCTCACTATGCTTCCAGTTACTCAACTTCAAAACCCAGAAGCCAAGACTTCATTCTCCTTCATTCCTCACACTAATCAGTTGTCATGTGGTCAATGGCACCTCCATGACATATTTTGCATCTATCTTCTCTTCAGATACTAAAGCTTTTCATCGTCACTTCTTGCATGGAGACAAGTGCCTCCTGATTGACCTCCCTGCCTCTATAACACATTTGCTGCCAACCTGGTATTCTCAGTATACTTTTTTTTATTGTTATCTTTTTTTTACAGCACCTGCATGTCCCCTACATTCTTCCTCTTTCCAAATGAGTCATCCTTTATAATAAAGAACAAAAAAGAGAAAAAAAAACTTCTGCAAAACTAAAAGATTGACCAAGCTTGACATTATTATATACAGTGTTCCACATCTGGAGGCCCCCACTTCTGCAAAGGAGCAAGGAGAGTTGTCCCATCTGCCTTTTCTGGGGCCAGGCTCAGCCATTATCATTTGGCCACACTCAGTTCTGATTGTTTTCATGTGGTTTTCTTTTCTCTTTCCACAGCTGCAGTCACACTGTGTCTACTGCGTTCATGGTTCTGCTGACTATGGTTTGATACTTCCAAAGTATAGATCTGATTAAAAGTCTCTCCTGCTCCAGAATCTCCAAGGACTCCTTCTCTCTTATACTCATGAGAGGAAATGAAAAAAATATCTCAAATGAATCACCCTGTCTCATAAAAGATGGCTGTTCAGTCATCATCTTCAGAAACCCTAGACGAGAGCGTCATCATTCACTTGCTTCTTTCTACTTCTTTAATTTGGCAAAGTGTTTCAGATGTACTGACTCACTTGATCTTCCCAGCAACTATATGAGTTACGTGCCACAGAAATTCCAATCTCCATTTTACAGATAAAGAAAGTGAGACCTAGGGAGATTAAGCGACTGACCCAGGGTGACACAATTAGTAAGTGCTGGAGGTGGGATTTGAATCCATGTCTTCCTTACTCCAGGGCTGGCTTCATTTGCCATGCCAGGCTGTGTTTCCATGAATACAAAAACCCATCATTTGTTCCCAACACTAAATGTGTAGTATAGCAACCTGTTTCTTTATAAAATTTATCCATTGATTCTCTTTCAATTCTTCTGGTTACATTAAGGATAAAACATCAAGTGGGTGTTAATATTTATTGTAGCCTAGAATCTGATTGTATATAAATGTTCTCTTAATAGGGAGGGAGAGCTCCTGGCTTAGGGTGTAGTTGGATTTTCAGGGGATCATGCATTGACTCATTCATTCGATAAACATTTGTTAGGCTCCTACTACGTGTCAGGAACTGTTCTAAGCACTGGTGATAGAAAGACAGTCCCTGCCCTCATGGAGCTTATAATCTAATGGGGATCAGGTTGGGTAAGGGATAGGGGAGGGACTATACCCCAGAAAACCAAGAGCAGTAAGATGCACAATGGACAGTTAAGAAAAGGAGGATGCCTTTTTAGCTGTGGTACTGCCTTCAACAGAAATATCCAAGTTAAAAAGGAACATAAAAATTCAGAAATATAAAATATACAGAAATACGAAAGTTCAAAGGAGGGATGGGTTTAGGAACATACAAAATATTGAACATTCTGAGTTTGAGATGTAGAAAGGGCATCTGGCAGGAAATGACTATCAGGGAGTATATGATGAAGGACTGGAGTTCAAGAGAGAGAAGATTATTGCATTTGGGAGTCATGTGCATGGACAGGGTAATTGAAACCATAGGAATGGATCACAAAGAGGAAGGGGAATGGAGAGAGGGAGAGGGAGAGAGAGACAGAGAGAGAGAGACAGAGTGTGAGAGAGAGAGTGAGAGAGAGAGAGAGAGAGAGAGAGAGAGAGAGAGAGAGTGTGAGAGTGAGAGAGAGAGAGAGAGAGACAGAGACAGAGACAGAGAGAGGCAGAGAAATAGACAAAGAGACAGAGAGAGAGAGAGACAGAGTGTGTGAGAGAGAGAGAGAGACAGAGACAGAGACAGAGACAGAGAGAGACAGAGAAATAGACAAAGAGACAGAGAGAGAGAGACAGACAGAAAGAGACAGAGAGAGACAGAGAAATAGACAAAGAGACAGAGAGAGAGAGACAGACAGACAGAAAGAGACAGAGAGAGACAGAGAAATAGACAAAGAGACAGAGAGGGAGGTGAAGTTGGGTAAAGGAAGAGTCAGGGAATTACTGAGACCAGGACAGAGTCTTGGGGGTTCCATATTATTGGGAAGGGGGTAATTAGTATTCAGCAAAGGAACAGGAGGAGGAATAAAACTGAGAGTTTGAAACTAGGAAAGAGGTCTTTATTGAGGGAAAAGAGACTCTCAGGGAGGAGGGGGTAGGCAACAGTGTCCAAAAGCACCAGAGAATTCAAGGACTTTTAAAGGTCAATGGATTTAGCCATTACAAGATCATTGGTAACAAAATATTGGAAGGATTGTGGAAAGATAGGCACACTAATGCACTGTAGAAATTGTGGGTGGGTCAACTCATTCTAGAAAGCAAAGCAACCAAAATGTCCATATCCCAGAGATCCCTCTAAAAGAAATATGCCAGCAGATCAATCATCCAAAGAAAGGGCTCATCCTTCTTGAACTGCATTTGATACTCTGGACCACTCTGAATAGTCTCACTTTTTGGTTTTCATGACATGGCTCTCTCTTGGTTCTCCTCCTACCTATCTGACCATGCCTTCTCAGTCTCCTTTGCTAGATCATCACTTGTCATGCTTCCTAACTGTGGGTGTTCTCCAAGGTTCTCTCCTAGGCTTTCTTCTCTTTCCCCTCTTTCTAATCTCATTAGATGCTGTGTATTTAGATGACTCACAGGTCTATCTCTTTCTGTCTGTCTGTCTGTCTGTCTATGTGGCTGTATATATCATTTATCTAACTCTTCTGTCTGTCTATATCATCTCTCTCTCTCTCTCTCTCTCTCTCTCTCTCTCTCTCTCTCTCTCTCTCTCTCTCTCTCCCTCACTCCCTCCTTCCCTCCCTCTCCTCAGTTGCTTCCCTGAGCAGCATCAGTCCTACATAACCAATGGCCTATTGGGACATTTCAAAGTGGATCTCCTAGAGACGTCTTAAACCCAACATGTCCGAAACGGAAGTCATTATCTTCCCCCCCTCTAAATCCTTCTGTCTTCCAAACTTCCCTACTTCTGTTGAAGGCACAACCATCCTTCTAATCTCCTGGGTTTGTAACCTTGGCATTATTCTTAACTCTTCACTTTCCTGCTCCCTCACCCCATATATTCAGTAAGCTGGCAAATTTTGCAGTTTCTAATTCATTGCACCTCTCACCTCCAATCCCTTCTCTGCATTCACATAGCTGTCATCTTATTTCAAGACCTTGTCACCCCTAATTAGCCTCCGTGTGTCTTCTTTCACCACTTCAGACCATCCTTTCCATGCAGCTGCCGAAGAGATTTTCCATAGGCTTAGAACTATGTCGCTCTTCTGAACCAACTCCCCCTACTTCCCATCTCCTCTGGGATAAAATACAAACTCTTCTGTTTGGTTTCAAAAGTCCTACTCAACCTGGCTCCAACATAAGGTCAGAAGGGCTGTGGAAAAATGGAAGTACTTTCAGCTGTGCTGGATATTACTGGTTGTATTATAAATTTACAGCTAGAAGAGACCTCATTGGCCATCTATTCCAAACTCTTCATTCTATAGTTGAGGAAAAAGAGGCTCAGAGAGATCAGAGGCAGGATTTGAACCCAGGTCTTCTTGACCCTGAGTCTGGTGATTTATCCAGCGACACCACATCTCTAAGTTCCTGTCTAGTTCTATGCCCTATCGGCATACTGTGTATACCAGCACATACCAATATATTGGCATACGGTGTGCCAGTGCACATATTTGGCTGAATTAGCCAAAACATCACATTCCATAACCACATCTAAATGCCTCCAACCTTTTAATTATACATGCTGGGCTTACCTGGTTCCGTTTGTTCTCCAAGAGTGAAGTCTCATACAGTTGGGCATTGTGGAGAACAATCCCACAGAATGCCAGGTAAGCAGCAAAATCCTGGAGAGACAGAAGACAATAACGCAAGGGTACTGAAATAGCTACTGAGTTCTTTCATCACTCTTGAGTACATTAGGGAGCCATTACGGAGAGGAGTTCGCTTTCAATCACTTCCTGTCAGAAACACATGCAAAATAAAACAGCAGCACTAGTAGAATCTAACAGTACCATTAAGAACTTAAAGATGCACAGGATATCCCCACGATTGTTTGAGCCTATGGACTTCTTCAACATAGAATCCACAGTCATATACAAAAGACTCATTTGAAGACCTAAGTACTTACATGACTTTACTAATGTCATTGGATACCATGGTGAAGATACCATCTTCATTATTCCATTTTATCACTGATTAAGTGAAAAGGGATATAGAATTTTACATAAGGGAGCATGAACTCATTACCAGAGCTGTTGTAGGCAAAAAAAATATATGCATAGGCTTGAGAATATCAGATATATGGAGAGGTAGTCATGGCATAGTGGAGAGTGAGCTGGTCTCGAGTCCAGAAAGACCTGGATTGGAGTCCCATCTCCAACACAAATTTGTAGTAGGACCCTAGCCAAGTTATGTTACTTCTGAGGGCCCCCAGGCAATATTCTAAGCTGCAGAGAAGGTGCTACTCAGCATAGAAGAAGCTTCCTCTTCCAGGAGTTCCTAGTATCACTGAAATCACAAACCCCATCTCCATCCCTGTCCACAGATAAACTATTAGATTCAGGGAAGATTAGCTCATATTCTGGGCTTCTTGAATCTTCTGAGGGTGTCATCATGGATAGCAGTCAAAACGTGCTTTGCTAAAATGCCCTGAAGATCATTGTTAGACAAAGTTTAGGGCTAGCTGAGCCATTCCTGTGACTCAGAATGGTTCTTGGGTGTGTGTCTTCTCAGATAGGCAGAAAGGGTGTTCTGAGCTGATTCTACATTTGGAGGAAATGAGCCATAAGAAAGAACTTGACTGCTGTTCTTTCCACCAGACCTTCCAAATACTGAGCCTGAATTCCCACCTTGGCGCCCCAATGTCTGTGGAAAAAGTTTATAAAACAGTCTTAAAGTTGCTTCACCATTGAGGCAATTCCAAACTTTCTTCCCAGAGTCCTAAATTTGGAGTGGATCTTACAGGGATTTTTATTCAGAGGCCTAATTTCTTTTCACCAGTGATGAAAGCTAAATAACATCGTTAAAAGACCATAAGCAGTCCTTTGTGTAGTCTTAGCACTTATAGGGGCCACCATTTTGATAGTCTTGAAAGTGTGACCTAATGTGACCTCAAATAAGGAACTTTTTGTAATCCTAATGGTGTACCAGTGCCCAAGCAATAACACAGATCCTGTCCATTCAGGTCTTCTAATGTCCACAACCCAAAGAAAGGCAAACCATCCATCAACTTTAACCCCCCCTCCCTCTAGCCCCATCAATTCCAAGTCTAGCACTGTCTCTAGCATCTGATTGCCTCCAATGAAAAGAAAACTCATCCATAAATGGCTTGAAAACACATGCCCATGTTCATACCTTTTCATCTTTTTCTGTGAATGTGCTGCCATTTTCAGATTTCTTGTTGATGGCCTGGGCCACACCAACAACCTGATGGGAGAAAAGGAAAGATATAATGGCCACTTTTCTCAGTGATTTCATCTTATCTTTCAAACCTTAGCCAGAGGAATCAGTGATGAGAGCTTTACTGGCTCTTCTTTTTAAAATAACTTTTGAATTAATTTCTTAGGACTTTTTGCAACATTTAAATTCAGAACTGTCCATCTAAATTTTGATCCGAAGCCTTGAGGTCCAGATAGAATGCATTTCCTTTACCATGATTACAAATCTGTTGACTTCAATGACATCAAAAGTCTGTGATGTCATCTGTATTGCACGCCCATGACCAACACATAACGCAGCCCTTTTACCTATTACTAGACTACCGGCTGGTCATTTTGAGATGCTAAAACCAACTTCTGTCTGCTCCACAAGGAATTCCCCAGGAGTTAGCCTCCACGTACTGAGTCTTTCTGACTCAGCTACATTCATCCTTGGTTGTCTTGGCTGCAATGACTAATTTGGCAGGATCAGCCTTAGTTTGCATTGGTTTATATTGCTGGCATGGTCTTCCAGAGCCTTAAGGCCCCTCCACAACATGACAAGTGACCTAGAGTAGAGGGCAAGGAGGAGATGCCAAGCAATCTGATGCTAACTGAAAGGGCTTTTCTTAACAATGACTCAAAAGGACGAATGGATGATTTTTCTCTTATATTAAAAAGTGAAACTACACAAGACATAAAATAGACATTTCACGTTGGATTTTAAAGATAGCACTCAAAAAGAGGTAAACTGTCCTGAACTGAAAATCAAGCAAAAGCTACCAGCTGCTTCTCAGTTACTACACTGGGGAGAAGTTCAGTCTAGACTGGACAACAGACATTTCTTATTGTCTTTTTTAAAAATTGGTTTTAGTTTTTAAAATGTTTATGTTTGGTTCCAAATTATCTCCCTCCTTCTCTCTCCCACTGAGAAGGCAAGAAATACGAGATACTCAGTACACATGTGAAGTCATGCAAAACTGTCTTAACGTCTATAGAAAGGAGGGTGGGGGGTCAGCAAACGAGGAACCCTCACTACCGCTATCTCTAAGCCATATTTTAATGACTAGGATCATCATTAGCAGAGCATAGAGCACTGTATTGGGAGTCAGTCGTCGTTGTTGTTGAGCTGTGTTCGATCCCATTTGGGGTTTTCTTGGCAAGGGTATGGGAGTGGCTTGCCATTTCCTTCTCCAGCTCATTTTACAGATAAAGATACTGAGGCAAACAGGGATAAGTGGCTTGCTCAGGGTCACACAGCTAATAAGTGCCTGAGGCCCAATTGGAACTCACAAGAATGAATCTTCCTGATTCCAAGCCCACTGCTCTATCCATTTCACCACCAAGACCTGAGTTCAAATTACGCCCCAAGCACTTAGCACTGTGTGAACCTAGGAAAGTCATTCTCTCTCAGAATCAGTTTCCTCATCTGTAAAATGGGGATAATAGCAGCACCTATGTCCGAGAGTAGCCGTGAGGATCAAATGAAATATAAAGCACTTGGCAAACCTGAAAGTGCTTTAGAAATGTGGCTGTTTTTATTTTGTATTGCATCTCCTCCTCCTCCTCCTCCTCCTCCTCTTATTCCCAGAAAACTTTACAGGAAGCATTTTACATCTATCATTTCCTTTGATCCCTATATCAATTAGATAGTAGCAGTATTTTCATCCCCATTATTGAGAAAGCAGAACTTTCTTTTTTATATTTTTTTATTAATTTATTTTGACTTATCAACAATCACTTCCATATACTTTTGAGTTTAAAATTTTTCTCCCCCTTCCTCCCCACCACCCTCCCCAAGATGGCACACAATCTGATATAGGCTATACATGTGCATTCCTATTAAACATATTTTCACATTAGTGATATGGTAAGTAAAAATTAGAACCAATAGGAAGAACCATCAGAAAGAGGAAACAAAACTCAACAGAGGAGAAAAAAATAGCAATTCAACTTCCATAGTTCTTTGGATGTGGATAGCATTTTCCATCATGAGGCCTCTAGAGATGTCTTAGATCCTTGTATTGCTGGGAAGGATTAAGTTTATCAATATTAGTCATCGCACAACGTGGCTGTTATCGTGTACAACATTCTCTTGGTTCTGTTCACTTCACTCAGCATCAGACCATACAAGTCTTTCCAGGTTTTTCTGAAGTCAGCCTGTTCATCATTTCTTATGGCACAATAGTATTCCATTACATTCATATACCACTTGCTCAGCCATTCCACAATTGATGGGCATCCCCTCATTTTCCAATTCTTTGCCAACACAAAAAGAGCTGCTATGAATATTTGTGTACATGTGGGTCCGTTTCCCATTTGAGTGATCTCTTTGGGATATAGCCCTAGAAGTGCTATTGTGGGTCAAAGGGTATGCACATTTTTATATCCCTTTGGGCATACTTCCAAATTGCTCTCCAAAATGGTTGGATCATTTCACAACTCCACCAACAATGCATTAGTGTTCCAATTTTCCCACATCTTCTCCAACATTTATCATTTTCCTGTTTCGTCGTGTTGGCCAATCTGATAGGTGTGATGTGGTACCTCAGAGTTGTTTTGATTTGCATTTCTCTAATCAATAGTGATTTTAAGCATTTTTTCATTTGACTAGATGGCTTTAATTTCTTTATCTGAGAACTCTGTTCATATCCTTTGGCCATTTATCAATTGGGGAATGACTTGTATTCTTATAGATTTGACTTAATTCTCTATATATTTTAGAAATGAGGCCCTTAACAGAAACACTGGTTGTAAAAATTCTTTCCCAATTTTCTACCTTCCTTCTAATCTTAGTTGCATTGGCTTGTCTTGTGCAAAAACTTTTCAATTTAACATAATCAAAGTTACCCATTTTGCTTTTCATAATGTTCTCTATCTCCTGTTTGGTCAAAAAAATTCTTCCCTTCTCCATAGATCTTACAGGTAAACTTTTCCTTGCTTTCACAGTTTGCTTATAGTACCAATCTTTATATCTACATCATGTACCCATTTTGACTTTATCTTGGTATAAGGTATAAGATGTTGGTCTATGTCTAGTTTCTGCCATACTCTTTTCCAGTTTTCCCAGCAGTTTTGTCAGATAGTAGGTTCTTATCCCAGAAGCTGGGGTCTTTGGATTGATCAAATAGTAGGTTACTGTAGTCATTGACTGCTGTGTCTTACATACCTGAGCTATTCCACTGATCCACCACTCTGCTTCTTAGCCAGTACCATGTAATTTTGATCATTGCTGCTTTATAATACAATTTAAGATCTAGTACAGCTGGGCCACCTTCCCCTGCATTACTTTTCATGAGTTCTCTTGATGTTCTGGACTTTTTGTTCTTCCAAATGAATTTTGTTATTGTTTTTCCTAGCTCTATAAAATAATTTTTGGTAGTTTGATTGGTATGGCACTGAATAAGCAAACTAATTTAGGTAGAGTTGTCATTTTTATTATATTAGCTTGGCCTACCCATGAGTGTGACTGACATGTTTTTCCAATTATTTAGATCTGACTTCATTTGTGTGAAAAGTGTTTTATAATTGTGTTCCTATAGTTCCTGAGTTGTTTTGACAGGTAGACTCCCAAATATTCTATAATGTTTACAGTAACTTTAAATAGACTTTCTATCTCTTGATGTTGAGCTTTATTAGTAATACATGGAAATGCCAATGATTTATGTGGGTTTATGTAGCAACTTTGCTAATCTGCTTCCCACATTGATTCCTATTGTCCCTCTTTTGTGATCTCTGATTCCTACTGCCCCCATCTCCACGTCATTTGCAAGAGAAGAAAATTAGCTGTGACTTCCTCCTAAATGGACCTGAGATCTGATACTTGGAGATTGTGAAAGAGCCATATGGATTCTTTCCACTAATGCACATGGGAACTCCTCCTGCCTTCTGTTATTATTATTATTCACTTGTTCCTTTGTGTCTGACTCTTTGTGACCCCATGGACCACAGCATGCCAGGCCCTTCTTTCCTTCACTGTCTCCTGAAGTTTGTCCAATTACATAACACTCTATATCCATTTCATCCTCTGCCATCCCCTTCTCCTTTTGCCTTTAAACTTTTCCGGCATTAGGGTCTTTTTTTTCCCAATGAGTCCTTGTCTTCTCATTATGTGGCCAAAGGATTTAAGCTTCAGCTGCAGTATTGGACCTTCCAGTGAATAGCCAAAATTAATTTCTCTAAGTATTGGCTGATTTGATCTCCTTGCTATCCAAAGGACTCTTCAAAGTCTTCTCCAGCACCACAATTTAAAAGCATTGATTCTGCAATGCTCAGTTTTCCTTATAGTCCGCCTCTCAGCCATACATTCCTACCGTAAAAGCCTTAGCTCTGACTACACAGATCTTTTGTCAGCAAGGTGATGTCTCGGTTTTTTAGCATGCTGTCCAGGTTTGCTATAGCTTTCCTTCCAAGCATCTTTTAATTTCATGGCTGTAGTCACTGTCTGCAGTGATCTTAGACCCAAGAACATAAAATCTGACACTGCTTTCCTTTTTTCTCCTATTTGACACAAAGTGATGGGACCAGTTGCCAAGATCTTGTTTTTTTATGTTAAGCTTCAAGCCAGCTTTTACACTCTCCTCTTTCACCCTCATTAAAAAGCTTTATAATTCTTCTTCACTTTCTTGCCATCAGAGTGGTATCTTCTGCATATTGGAGATTGTTCATATTTGTACTGGCAACTTTAATTCAGGCTTTGTATTTGTCTTGGCTGGTATTTCACATGATCTATTCTGCATTAAGTTAAATAAGGTGACAATATATAGCCTTGTCATACTCCTTTCCCAATCTTAAACCATTCAGTTATTCCATGTTCATTTCTAACTGTTGCTTCTTGACCCACATACAGGTTCCTTGGGAGACAAGTAAGATGATCTGGTCCTCCCATTTCTTTGAGCACTTGCCACATTTTGTTGTGACCCACACAGTCAAAGGCTTTGGTGTAGTCAATGAAGCAGAAGCAGATGTTTTTTCTGGAACTCTGTTGCTTTCTCCGTATTCTAGTGAACA